TTTTTCAAACTGACTTCTTAACTTTCGTAATGCCTCAACATAGAACTTGTTTAGACATGTTAGAACAAGTTTGTATGTTTTCTAAGTACAAAATTAAAGAAATCTATGTAGTTTTTTTTTTTCATTGTACACTTTTTAAAATCACCTTTTTGAAGACCCCTTGTATTAGATTCATACTGGCGAATTTATACTTATAATGAGAAAACACTAGTGAATCTTTCACTGTAAAGTCCTATTTTTTGAATATTCAGAGGTTAAGTGACATGGACCACAGGCCGAGTTCACCACCGAGAGGATTCCATTTTTGACTGTTCTTGTTTCCTGTAGAAGTCATGGGACAAACTGAAGTTCTGAGGAATTTGACTAGACGGGCCCGGATCAGCCACAGGGAAAGCAGCTGACTACCAAGACAACCAGAGGACGGAGCTGGGTATCCTGACAGCCCCTCAAGGTGGGACGTGGAGTGGAGACTGAATGCTGTACCTATTATCACCTGACCAAAAGAACACCAGCTGTTTGTTAGGTCAGAGGAACACACAGACTTGAGTCCCTGGGCACACTCAATGGCTGGCCTGCTACGGCCACCTGGTTTCCCCTTCTCCTCTAGCTGGGGAGGATTTTGCTGGATGTCGGCCGTTTCCTGGGCACAGGGCTATTTTGCTGTTGCAGGGCAGTTAAATACTATGGCTTTTCTCCAGTCTGTTATGTATGGTAAATCCTAGCCTGTATGCTGGTGTGGCACTGTGGATCAGCACTGGAGTGCACACTGCAGGGTTGGAAGTTCAAACCCATCAGCTGCTCCTTGGAAACCTCTATAAAGGGCTGCTATGAGTCAGAATTGACTCAATGGCACTTAACCACAATGCCTGTGATTGTGGAACCCTTCTGAAATGAGTTTCTAAGGGGTAAGGGCTGAATAATTAAAAAATGGCAGCAATGGTGCATTGACTGGGAACTGCCAGATGTTCAAGTTGGATTCAGACAAGGATGTGGAATGAGGGATGTCACTGCTGATGTCAGGTAGCCCTTGGCAGAAAGCAGAGAATACCAGAAAGATGTTTACCTGTGCTTTAATGACTATGCAAAGGCTCTCAATTGTGTGGATCATGACAAGCTATGGACAACACTATGAAGAACGAGTATTCCGGAACATGTAAGTAATTGTGCTAATGAGGAACCTGTAAAAAGACCAAGAGGCAGTTGTTCAAACAGAACATGGGAACACTGAATGGTTTAAAATTAGAAAAGGTGTGTGATAGGGTTATATTCTTTCACCATACTTATTCAATCTGTATGCCATTGAATTGGACTGCCAAAAGAACCAATAGATCTGTTTTGGAAGAAGTGCAGCCAGAGTGCTCCTTGGAGGCCAGGATGGCTAAACTTCGTCTCTCCTACTTTGGACATATAGTCCGGAGGAAACAATCGTTGGAGAAGGATGTCATGCTGGGTAGGGTGGAGGGTCAGAGAAAAAGAGGAAGACCTCCAACGAGATGGATCGGCCAGGTGGCATCATTGATGGACTCGGGGGTGGCAGTGGTGGTGAGGTTGGCCCAGGATCGAGCATTGTTTCGTTCTGCTGTGCATGGGGTCGCTATGAGTCGGTTCCAACTCGATGGCACCTGACAACAACAAATTCAATCTGTATACTGAGCAAAGAATCTGAGAAACTGGGTTCTATGAAGAAAAACGTGGCATCAGGATTGGAGGAAGACTCATTAACAACCTGTGATATCCAGATGATACAACCTTGTTTGCTGAAAGTGAAGAGGACTTAAAATACTTACTGATGAAGATCAAAGACCACAGCCCTCGGTAAGGGCTGCTGTTGAGAAACGCCCTCGACATGAGAGTTTGGTTCACGAAGTTGGGAGATCTGGCGGCGACAGAGACAGATAAAGAGTACATGCAAAGACGCAACAAGAGAGACAAGAAGACACCCCAAGACCAGAGTGAATGCGATACTGGCGTCAGACAGATTCTGCATTGTAAACATTATGGCTATGCAAGCAGTATGCACATCTTACCAACTGCAATGCCTGCCCGTAATGCATGCCCTGCAAGCCGTAACGCATTGCATGCGGGCTTCAGTCTGTGCCTCCTTTTTATTTCAGGGAAGAGCTTTACACAAAGGAAGGCGGGGATTATTAAGACAGGGTACAGAAGTGCAATGTGATTAATCGTTCAAAACAGGACACAATGATTTACAGGAACAAATTCTAAAACATACATCACAAATTGTCTTGATAATCTAACATCCTTAATTTTCCAGAAATTCAAGCAAATTGTTATATAGTACTTTGAGGTTCAAATCCCAAGGTATGTGACAGCTGGATAATGAGTAAGAAAGACCCTAAAAGAATTGATGCATTTGAGTTCTGGTGTTGGAGAATATTAAAAGTACCATGGACCGCTAGAAGAACAAACAGATCTGTGTTGGGAGAAGTACAGCCAGGATGCTCCTTAGAAGCCAGAATGACCAGACTTCATCTCTCACACTTCACACATATTATCCAAAGGGACAAGTGCCTGGAGAAGGACATCATGCATGGAGGGTTGACAAAGAGGAGGAAGCCCCCCAACAAGATGGAATGACCCAGTGGCAGCAGCAATGGGTTCAAGTGTAGCAACGACTGCGAGGTTGGTGCAGGACTGGGCAGGGTTTTGTTGTGTTGTGCACATGGTCACTATGAATCGGTACTGACTCACTGGCAGCTAACAAGGGTTCCGGCGGGGCTAAGGAGTACGGATTACAGTGAAACTAACTGAAGGACCCTGTGTCTGATCAACAAAGAGGCACTGCAGCTGCTCCCCAGTGGTGCAGAATAAAGCCCGGCTTAAGTTTACACCAGGAGACCCTCCCCCTGACAGTTTCAGGAAAATCTCCATAAACCCGCCCATTAGAAGCCGGCCAGAACTGTACCTGGGACAGCACCCTCTTACAGCTGTCTGTAAGGGACTGGCGGGCTCTTGGGTCTTTCGTGACTTTGAGCGCCCCCTCCCAGGTATACTCTCAATAAACCTGCCTGCTGTTGAAGCCATGTTGCTCTCCTCATCTCTTTCTCTCATGTTTCTTACACTAAGGGTTAGTGGTATCTCCGATTTACTAGAGGCTGTGACTCAGTCACCACTTTGAGTTTTCCTTGGGGCATGGTCTGACTCCAATTTAGAGGCCTGCTTTGGAAACATTCACTCTCTTGCCTTGGATCTTACGTCTGGGTTCCTACGTCTGACCCCCTGTTCACAGGACTTCCAGCCCTTCACCTGGCCCAATTCATCTGTTCCTGAAGCCTCACACTACAGCCTGTCACCTGACTTGCCTCAGCTCCTGAGACTACATGAATGAGAAGACTCTTCCAGACTGAACTCTTAATTTGGGACAGCCATTTCCTTCGACAGTTGTGAGTTTTGTGAGATGTTGCCACCTGAGATCCCCGGGGCTTGATGGATGGGAGGAGTGGTGATTGACATCAAGGACTCAACACTTGGGTTCTCTTTAACCTCCAGCTCACAGGGACCAGGCTCACGCTGATCTAACAGAAATAACCCACGCAGCTGTGTCTGTCTGTTATCAATACGCCCTGTGATGTGAGCCCTGGTCACGCTGTCTGTCCCTACCTAGTTATTTGTTACAACCCTCCCTTGGGGTCTTCTAGGATCTTGTGAAAAGGGGGCCACACCAAAATGTAAGACACGGTCTCCCTGAGGAGCTTGGGGACTTGAGTTAATCCTGCTGCCGCCTCAGTCACTGAGCCCTTCATAAACTCCTAAGTCACAACCAGCAGCTGTCCTCTTCCTTCAGTCTCACAGCACCCTAGGCTAACTAGTCCTCGTGGTGCCGTGGGTTAGGCACTGGGATGCTAACCACAAGGTTGGTTCAAACTCACCAGCCACTCCTCAAGAGGAAGATGATGCTGTCTGCTCCTGGAAACTTCCGTGGTCTTGGAAACCCCGTGTGGAGTCAGAATCGACTTGACGGCAGTGACTGTGGTTGAGTCTGTGCTGAGACTCCAAAGGAGGATGAATGAAAGCCCAAACATTTGTGCAGTTTCAAATGATGACTCTATGAGAAACTTACTAATGACAGAGGGTGAACTAGCTAACCTTACAACAGGAAGTAGATGAAAATAAGACACCCTTAAACAAAATACCAGATCAGTGTATTTATTTTATTTTCTGAAAATAACATTGATAAAACATTAAAAATATAAAACATTTGTTCAAGCTGTTCTCTAGGCCAAATGTTTAATGTAAAGTTTAACGTGGACTGGCAAAGTAACCAACACTGATGCAGACAGTCCCGCTGTTCAAATAATGAAACTGTCATTTCTTCCAAAGGCACAAAGTTGCTTTAGCGACTTTCTGTGAGTTATTACTGCTTTCTTACTGAGAAATTTTGGTCTTTAATTGTATAATTTCAGAAATTTAATGGTTGAACTCAAATCAAAATTGAGACATGCCACTTTTGACACAGTGGTTCCTACACTGTAAGTTCTTACACGTCCAGTGAGATGTTAGGAACAGCTAAAAGGATCCTCATATTTCTCAAATTCATAAGGCCTGTCTCAACTGTGAACCCTTCTGTGTGTAGTGAGGTGCGAGGACCTCCTAAAGGTTTTCCCACACTGCTTACATTCGTAAGGCCTCTCTCCACTGTGAATTCTTGCATGCGTGGTGAGACCTGAAACCTGCCTAAAGGCTTTCCCGCAGTCCTTACATTCGTAAGGCCTCTCTCCACTGTGAATTCTTACATGAACAGACCAGGACGAGTAGTCACTGAAGGCTTTCCCACATTCACTACATTCATAGGGCTTCTCACCACTGTGAGTTCTTCTGTGTGTAGTGAGGACTGAAGAGAAACGGAAGGCTTTCCCACACTGCTTACACTCGTAAGGTTTCTCCCCACTGTGAGTCCTTATATGGGCAGTGAGGGCCGAGGGCCGCCTAAAGCCTTTCCCACACTCCTGACATTCATAAGGCCTCTCTCCACTGTGGATTTTTGTGTGTGTCTGGAGAACTGAAGAATAACTAAAAGCTTTCCCACACTCCTTACACTGATAAGGCCTTTCTCCGCTGTGAGTCCTCATGTGTGTAGTGAGAGCTGAGGGCCGTTTAAAGCCTTTCCCACACTCCTTACACTCATAAGGCTTCTCCCCACTGTGAGTCCTCATGTGTGTCGTGAGGGCGGAGAGCTGCCTAAAGGATTTCCCACACTCCTGACATTCATAAGTCCTCTTTCCATGGTGAGTTCTGATGTGTGTAGTGAGAGCTGAAGACCCACTAAAGCCCTTCCCACACTTTTGACATTCGAAAGGCCTCTCCCCACTGTGAGTCCTCACATGTCTGGTGAGGGCTGAGGGCCACCTAAAGGCTCTCCCACACTCCTGACATTCACAAGGCCTCACCCCACTGTGAGCTCTGATATGTTTAGAGAGGACTGAGAGATGCCAGAAAGCTTTCCCATGCTCCTTACATTCACTGTGAGTTCCTGTATGTTCAGTGAGGTGTGAGGCTTGGCTAAAGGCTTTCCCATGCTCCTTACTTTCATAAGGCCTCTGTCCAGTGTGAGTTCGGATCCGTCTGGTGAGGTGTGAGGCGTGGGTGTAGGCTTTCCCACAGTGCTTACATTCATAAGGCCTCTCTCCACGGTGAGCTCTTACGTGTGGAGTGAGGGATGAAGTATGGGTAAAAGCTTTCCTGCATTCCTTGATTTCATAAGGTAGATCAGTGTTCTGAAATGTTCTGTGTAAAATGAGGGACGTTTTACAACGTTCTTTACGTTCCTGTTTATGATCCCTCACGTGTGTCCAGAAGGATGAGAAATGTCTCCCATTGTTGCGACATCCATAGAGCTTCTCAGCAGTGAAGGATGCTACAGAGTCTTTCCCATCAGCCTTACATTTATGGGATTTCTTCCCATTAGGAGTTCTCCTAGTAGTTGGGAGAGAGGGGCCACGGCAGGCTTTTCCACATTCCTTACCCTGACAGGGGCTGCATCCTGTGTATAACCGGCTATGTTGCTTCCGTGATGGGCGCCCCACCAAGGCTTCTCCCCACTCACAGCATCGAAATGGAGGTGACTCAGCAGGATCTTCTCCTACAACGGTAGGATTTAGAATCTGACGGAAGGTTTCCACACACTGACTGTCTTCATTACTTTCAATGAGATTCTCTATTGTATGACCTCTGTTAAAAATAACATGTGGTTAGAACCAAGTTTGTCCACATTTGAACCCCACTAAACCAGACGCTCCCTGGAAACCCTAGACAGGGTTGCTGGGAGTCGGAACCGACTGGACACCACCCCACCACCACGTGGACACATATCTATATTGTTGCTATTGTATGGCATTGAATCGATTCCGGTCCACAGGATTTCCAAGAAGCAACTGGTGGGTTTGAACTGCCAACTTTGTGGTTAGTAAGTAGCTTAGTGCTTTCCCACAGTGCCACACCAGGACTCCATATACTTATATCTAAGTATGCAAGAGTCAGTACCGACTCGATGGCACCTCACACATGTACACGTACGTGGCTTACGGAATCCTGGCATGGCGCTGTAGGATAAGGGCTGGACTTCTAACCGCAAAGTCCGTATTTCAAACCCATCAGACCCTCCTGGAATACCCTCTACAGGGTCACTGTGATTTGGGACCAACTTGGCGGCACTTAAACAAAACCACACCACATAAGTGTATGATGTCATGGAGTCTTCGCGCCGGCACTGTTCGCTGCTGCCTGAGTGACTCACCTGACAGGCCCCATCTGATCTGCACGTTCCTCTTCATCACCACGAGCTGTGGACATTCCACCGGATCCGGAAGAGCAGGTGCCATTCTTGATGGATCTCCCTGTGGTCTGCTCAGTGGACGACTTGTCTCCAGAGACTGACACAGTAGTTCAAGTTGAGGGTCACAATATGAAACAAAAGAAGTCACTGTTAGGGACAAAAGGTTGCTGTGTAGAGAGCATTTCCATTTCTGTTTCAACACTCCGGCAACAGTTAAAACACAATTTATTTGGAAATATCACCAAGAGGACTGAAAGTGACAGTCCCCTTAAGGGTGATGCCCTGGTGGCACTGCAGAGCACCTAAGGACCACTCACCACAGCAAAGGCACCTCAAACACACCAACTACAAACACACCAACTACAAACACACCAACAAAGGCACCTCCAACACACCAACTACAAACACACCAACTACAAACACACCAACAATGGCGCCTCAAACACACCAACAATGGCGCCTCAAACACACCAACAATGGCGCCTCAAACCCATAACTTTTCCGTGGGAGAAAGATGAGGTTGTCTGTCCCATAAAGATTTACGGCTTCAGAAACCCTATCCAGGATTGCCCTAAGGCACAACTGACATGACGGCTGCGGATTTGGTTTCTGGTAAGTAGAAAGAAAGATAACACGGTGTGAGGGCGCGCCCAAATGTCCATGGAAAGATGGAATGAAAGGGTAATAGAATTTCCCCAAGAATTTCCCTCAAGACACTTGTCCCATTAAAAAAGGAAAGTGTGTAAGTGAGAAGATTGCTAAAGGCAGAAAAGTTCAGATGCATGTGGAATTGTGTCCTCAGCCCCAAAGAGACTTTTCTCCTTGGCTCCCTCTATGCAAGGCTGGTCCTTCAAAACATTCTTGGTTTCCTGGTGCTTCCCCACAGATGAACCCGAGCTCTACCGTCCTGTGTGATCATTAGGGTTCTGTGTCAACTCCACTTGGCCAGCTGTCTCAGTGGTTTGGCAGCTAAGACAGCAATTCCATGCGAGGATCTGCTCGGAAAAGTCAATCAACTGAAAGTAAGTTTCCAGTAGACTAACCATCCGGGCAAAGCTGACTGCTTATGGCTGGGTCTGGGTCCGGCATCTGGCTTGTCATTCGACCTCCGGTTCTTTGAACCTGAGTCAGTGGCCTGCTCTCCTGCCAGCTGATGCCGGGAGTCATCGGCAGCCGGTGTTCTCAATTCCTCAGCCCAGCAGCTACATGAATCAGAAGCCTCCAACATGACTTCTAATCTATGGATTCGAGACTTGTCTACCTCCACAGCTGTGTGAGCCACTTTCATGACACAAACTTCTCTTTATTTACACACATATATAAGCGCCACTGATTTCGCTTCTCTGGAGAACGCAGTCTAAGAACCTTGCTTCTCTGTGAGAGAAAAACATGTAATGAGATCAGTGCAGGGGTCTCTGACACGGAGCCCCAACTGTGATCTTCAGTGTCACGGAGACGGGCGGCTGTGAACTTACACGCAGCAACCTAACTGTAAAGCTCATTACACGGCCTTACACCAGATCTCTCTCAGTGCCTCACACTTCAAACCCTCAAAATGGAAATTAACGTCACCACATGGGGAAGTGAGAACATAGGAGCTCCACAGTCCACAGGCACACACTTAGTGGATTTAACAACTGAGTCCCATCCTTCTAACTAAATACTGAAGCAAAGCTGATGAGTAAAATCTTTTTGCTTACTAAAAGGATAAGTAAATTTTTTAAATGATGCAATTCTTACCTACTGCGGTCAGGTGTCTGAAGGTTTCCATCATCACGTCTCTGTACAGTTTCCTCTGAGCAACGTCCAGCAGAGCCCACTCCTCCTGGCTGAAGACCACCGCCACATCCTCGATGACCACGGAGTCCTAGAACATCACACACATCCTGATCACCTGATCAGCCAAGTACCGTCTACTCCAAAATACTGTTGGTAGATACAGTCAAGTCAGTTCCAACTCATATCAACCCCATGCACAACAGAACAAAACACTGCCTGGTCTGCACCGGCCTCACAATTGTGACACTGGAGCCCACTGTTGCTGCTCCGGGGCGGGGGGGGGGGGGGGGTCTTCCTCTTTTTTTGCTGACCCTCCACTTTACCAAGCATGATGTCCTTTTCCAGGGACTGGCCCTTCCTGATAACATAGCTGAAGTATCTGAGATGGAGTCTGGCCACGCTGGCGTCTAAGGAGCCCTCTGGCTGTACTTCTTCCCGCACATCTTGGTTTGTCCTTCTGTCAGTCCATGGCACTGTAACACCATAACTCACATGCGTGGATTAGCTACAGGATTCCTTATTCACTGCCCCACTTTTTACACGCATATGAAGATATGGAAGACATGGTGAGATAGTTAACGTTTTGTGGCAACCTGACTAGGCCAGGACTCCCCGTGGTATGGCATGCGAGGCGGAGTTACCCCCACAATGAGATCTGACATAACATAATAAACTCTATGATGAGGTCCAAACACTGAATGGTTTAAGATTAGGAAAGCTGTGTGGCAGGGTTGTGTTCTTTCACCACATTTACTTAACCTGCATGCTGAACAAATAATCTGAGAAGCTGGGTTATATTAAGAAGAATGTGGCATCAGGCTTAGAGGAAGACTCATTAACAGCCTGTGATATGCAAACGATACAACTTTGCTTGCTGAAAACCAAGAGGAGTTAAAATATTTATTGATGAAGATTAAAGACCATAGTCTTTGGTATGGATTACATCTCAATGTAAAGAAGAAAAAAAAATCCTCACCACTGGACCAATAAAAAACATCAATATAAATGGAGAAAAGATTGAAGTTGTCAATGACTTCCTTTGGATCCACTCTCAACACTCATGGAAGCAGCAGTCAAGAAATCAAATGACATACTGCATTAGGCAAATCTGCTGCACAAGACCTCTTTAAAGTGTGAAGAGCAAAGATGTCAGTTTGAGGACTAAGGTGAGCCGGACCCAAGTCATGGTATTTTCAATAACCTCATATGCATGTGAAAGCTGGACAGTGAATAAGGAAGACCGTAGAAGAATTGATGCTTTTGAGATACGGTGTTGGAGGAGAATACTGAAAGTGCCATGGTCTGCCAAAAGAACCAACAGATCTGTGTTGGAAGAAGTGTAGCCAGAGTGCTCCTCGGAGGCCAGGATGGCCAGACTTTGTCCCTCATACTTTGTACATATTGTCAGGAGGGACCAGTCACTGAAGAAGGACATCATGTTTGGTAAGGTGGAGGGTCAGAGAAAAAGAGGAAGATGGATTGTCAAAGTGGCAGCGTCAAGAGGCTTCTCCGTAGCAGCGATTGGGAGGTTGGCCTAGGACTGGGCAATGTTTCGTTCTGCGGTGCACAGGGTCGCTATAAGTTGGTGCCAACTCGATGGCACCTAACAACAACAATGATGAGGTCTGCTATGAATAGCCAGTCAACTGAAAGGCTGCTTTCTCAGAGGGATGGATGGTGGCCTGCTTCCAATGTATTAGACACACAGCTCTCTGCTGGCTCTGGGTCTTGCATCTGGTTCGTCTTTCAACCTTTGGTTTTTTGGACTTGAGCACTGACCTGCTCTCTTTCCTATCTACAGTCTGACCCAGCAATCTCGGTGCATTTGACCTGCCAAGCCTGATTTCTCTGACTCTCTCCCTCTATACTCACCTGTATGGAGCCATTTCCTCGATATAAACTCACACATGTAAAAGTTCCACTGGTCTCGGTCAGGTGCACCTTAGTCTTCATACTGATCTCTTTGCTCTTGAAAACTTTAAAGCGATCTTTTGTAGCACACGTGCTTAATACAGAATGTTTGATTTCTTGACAGTTACCTGCATGACCCTCCCATCGTCTGTGAGTTTGTTGTACTGTGGTGGCTTGTGTGTTGCTGCAATTCTGGAAGCTATGCCAGGTGTACGTTAAATATCCGAAGGGTCACCCACAGTGGACAGGTTTCAGATGAAGACATATGAGGAAGAAGGAGTGACAGACTACTGCTGACTATTTAGTCACTGAAAACCTTATGAATAGCAGTGAAACACCAAAATGCTGAATACTGAAACATGATGAAGACCATCAGAATACTGCTATCAGGAAGAGGAGCCCTCGGGTTGGAAGGCACTCACACTATGACTGGGGAAGAGCTGCCTCCTCAAGGTAGAGTTGACAGTGATGACGTGAATGGAGTAAAGTTTCAGGACCTTCATTTGCTGATGGGGCACAAATAAAAACGAAGAGAAACAGATGCAAATATCCATAATAATAAGAACATGAAATGTATGAAGTATGATTCTAGGAAAATTTTAAATTGTCAAAAAATGATATGGAACACAGAAATATTGATATCCTAGGGACTAGTGAGCTGAAATGGACCGGTACGGGGCATTTTAAACCTGACAACCACAAGGTTTACTATGCCGGGAATTACAAATTGAAGAGCAATGGCGTCACTTTCATCATCAAAGAGAACATCTCAAGATTTGTCTTGAAGCGCAGTGCTATCTATGATAAAATAACATCCCTCCTCCTACAAGAAACACCAGTTTACACCAACTATTATTCACATTTATGCAACAACCACTAAAGCCAGTGATGATGAAATGGAAGAATTCTACCAACTTCTTCAGTCTGAACTTGATCAAACATGCAATCAAGATGTATTGATCATTACTGGTAATTGGAATGCAAAAACGGCTGTCAACAAACAAGAAGGATCAATAGTTTGAAAATATGGCCTTGGTGATAGAAACGGTGCTAAATATAGATCAGTCTTATGACTCGGGCGGTGAATCTCACGATCAGCAGTTCAAAACTACCAGCCGCTCCACGGGAGACAGATGAGGCTTTCTGCTCCCGTAAAGATTTACAGCCTCAGAAACCCTGTACAGGGTCATTGTGAGTCAGAATCAACTCCACAGCACATAACAACAACAACAACAACAACAAGAGAAGGATACCATGTTTGATGAAGCACAGGGTCTGGGAGAAGAGTGAGACCCCCCAACGAGATGGACTGGCACAGTGGAAGTAGCAGTGGGCTCCAGTGTAGCAATAACTGCGAGGTAGACGCAGGACCAGACAAGTGCTTCATTCTGTCACGCACAGGATCGCTGAGTCAGTACCGACTCCATGGCACCTAACAACAGCTAACAAGGTTTGAAATAACGAAATCATTTAAAATTTCATCCTTTAGACCCCAACTGCTAGTAAATAAACTTGTACAAACTACCAGAGTATAAATTAGAGCGATCTTTAGTGGTTATGAATTGGGATCTTTAACCTCAGGGTTGGCAGTTCGAAACTACCAGCTGTTCCGCAGGAGAAAGAGGAGGCTTTCTGCTCCCGTAAAGATTTATAGCCTAGGAAACCCTGTGCAGGGTCACTGTGAGTCGGAACCGACTCGACCGTACTTAACACCAACAAACAACAACTCTAAACACAGTAAGCAGGTATAACAACCCGTACATCAATTTTGTCTCAGTAAGGAGAGTGTTGGTAAAATAGCCCCAGTAGCTAACAGTTTGGGCTCCAGTACGACATGCTGACTGTGATGTTGCTGAGTGCTGCTGGGCTGGTGCTGACTCACGGCCACCTGCCACACGGTTTCCGAGCCCGTCAATCTTTACGGAGACAGAACGCCTCACCTACCTCCCACAGAGTGTTTTCTGGGGAGTCTTGAACACCGTCTCAAGATGTAAGTAAGCTTTAGAGTAACCTTTACTTAAAAATAGGCACTTCTCTGCTTTTGAAATGTTTACATCAATTAAATGGGGAAAAAAAATACACATATATATATATACACACACAAAAGCGCACATGTATCTATATGTGTATCTATCAGTAGGAACACACCATCTATGAGCTTCTTTCAGTGGAAACCGTAAACCCAAGAAGTTAAATACATACATCTAGGTTGAGACTGTCTAGCAAAAGAGAGTACTGAAATTTAAATTCTCAACAGTGGAGACATGTCAAAACGCACAAACACGAGCTCTGGGCAGACGTGGAGGACAAGGACCTACCTAGGGGACGCGTGCCTCCCACACAACTGAAAGCCTCTAGGCAAGAACATTGTCTACAGTTGGGGATGGGATGTGGGGGTCTCCACCCAGGATGCTGATCTTTGGTGACATGGGGACAGCCCCACCTCCACCCAGGATCCCCACACAGGCCAGGCCTTTCCCTAGGGACTCTCTCCTCTCTTTTCTAACCGACAGCAGTGTTAGAGAGGGACCTGTGCCCCAGTGCTGGGGATGGGGGTGCAGGTGAGAAAACAGTTAAGGGGAGACAACGGGACAAAGAAGGTTCTGGAGGGTGGGTCTCAGCCTCCAGTCAGGGCTGCTTGTCTCAGGGTCTGCTCAGGAGACTGACCTTCCAGACAGAGCCCCCAGGCCCAGGGTGGGGGTGTCAACGCCCCATGTGTCAGCTCTCAGAGCCACACAAGGATGGGGGCCCCAGGCATCCAAATCTTGAAGAGCCATATAAATAGTGAGGATGGACCTGGATCTACCGACCTAAACCAAATGGAGTCGGTGTAGTCACTAGGTCTTGATAAATGAGAACACTGCAAATGCGGACGTCAGTTTAAAAAGTAGCTGGGATGACCTCGGGGTCCTAGAAGGAAACCGGGATGTGCTTAAGCCCACCCAGATGGTTCTCTCAGGAACTAAGGAGCTTGGACCCTCGAAGGTGGAATGTTTGAGAAGCATTACTACCTGGTTGTTTCCTTTTCCCTAAACACAGAATGTCTGAAAAGTTTATTGTCTTATTGTCTGTTTTTCCAAAGAGTGCTATCCTGATGTTAAACGAGATGAAGTGTACATCCAAATGTGACGTCCCCTCTAGAATGTGCCTGCTCTTCATAATGGACAGGACGGTCGTGAGGAATTCTTCTCCCTGTTCTCAAGATTAATGGCTTTCTGTTAATAAAGCTTGTGTTGGATTTCTCCACGTCTCTATGACTGGCTGCAGCGACAGGCCACAAACCCTCAGTTTCGTTTGGCAACAGAGCGGGGCCCAAGGATGCCTCTAAGGCTTAATTAGTCCCTGGGCCTCCTGGGTCCCCTTTTCTCTTCACTGAGGAACCACAGTCCCACGGTACACAGCTGGTCCCCAACAGTTCAAACCCAGCCTCACCCTCTTATGGTAACAACAACCCGGTTCTCTGTAGAACTCACCATCTCTGCGCTCCAGCTACCAGACGTCTGTGTGACTGTCGTCTCTAAGCCAAGCAGCCACTTCAGGGAGAGGGACGGGAGTGAACGCAGAGCCCTGGGCAGCCTGGAGGCAGATGAACACGGTTTGGTCCACACACCAGGCCTGTGACGTAGGGAGGTGCAGG